AGTCTGATTTCAGTCAGCCGTGCTCAGTCTGCTCCTCCTCCGAGACGGGCCGACTGAGCGCAGCTGACTGAAATCAGACTGTCTGCTTCGGATCGAACGAGAGGAACACATCACTGAAGCCACGGAGCTTGAACATCCAACGTAAAACTAACTTTACCGCGGTGCCTGACTAAACAATCCTCGTACTTTTGAATGCGATACGTTTTCAAACATTTGATTAAGTTCGATGTACTGTAGGTCGCGACCGAGCTTCTTCCTCTCAGTACAGCGGCTCTGCAGACATTGCACGCTGCTGTCTTGTGGTGTTTAGTGTAAAACACTTCCACACAGCAGACATGTTACGATGAAAAGTTGGTTAGCTGTTAGCAACAGTTCTGCTCAGTCCTCAGTATTTACTCAGGTTGTAGCTGGCTGCAAACTATGAAATGGATTTCCTGAATGTGAGGCGGGTCTTATTTCTCTGGGCTTCACGAGACACACCTCCGTTCAGGAAATCCATTCCATAGTTTGAAGCCAACGTGCATCATGGAGCGGAAATCTCTGCAGGTTGGATCGGAAACATCCGATACGTAAATGATGCTGGTATTGGACGCCGATGCTAAATTGGGTCGACTCCATCCCTAGTGTTAACCTATAAATAGTTAAATATTACTGCTTTTGGTGTTTAGAAATGCTTGCCTGATGTTTGAATGGTAAATGGACTGTACTTGTATATCACCTTTCTATCTGATCAAGATACTCAAAGCTCTTTACAACAATCTGTGCCTCATTTACCCATTCATACAGCACTCTACTAGATCTCTACAAAGAATAATCAGAGCTTCATCACATTCATACACTGATGGTACACACATCTGAGGCAATGAGGGGTTCAGTGTCTTGCCCAGGGACACTTCAGCATGTGACTGCTGGTGGAATCAAACCCACAACTCTTACATCGGAGGACGACTGCTCTTACCACTCAGCCACAGCCACCCTGTGTTTAGGTGTCTATGCTCGACTAAACTGATATCTACACACCAAAGTGCCAAACAAAACCAGAACTGTTATTGAACTTTTTACAAATCCAACAAATTTAGGGTTAAAATGACCCAGAACAAATAAACATGAAGATTTAAAGCTTGTAGTCAATCTGTTCCGGTGGCCCACAGTGGACTCAGGCTCAGCCCCTCAGTAAGTCCATATGTTCTGACTCTTCAGTCTCCACCCCCACTTTTACTCTGAGAGTCTACGCAGGTTCATCTCCCCCCATCATCTTCCTCTTCCTCCCCAGCTTTGTTAGCTCTGTAGTGGGGGTCCCCAAAAACAAAAGACCCTACCTGATAGGGTTATCTCTTATTGTACCCCAACGCTCTGTGGTTTATTTGACTGTGAAAGGAACCAAACTGAATCCTTTCACTGCGGCTGCTCTTAATGAGCTTGTTGAAGGCTCACAATAAAACTGCTGAATATGTCACATCATTTCTGTTTGTGGAACCAGAATGTAATAAAATCAATTTGTTTGAAGCAGTAGGAAATGTTTGAGAGGTGCAAACGATCATACAAATGGGACTTCTATTTACTGTATGTTGGATAATTAACATGCTAATGTAAAATATTTCCAGAATAAGGCACCATTATTTATCTCATGATTAACACTGTGCTAAAACCAGTGAACTTACCATATTTTCCAGCGTATAAGTTGCTCTGGAGTATAAGTTGCATCAGTTAAAAGAAGCATCATGAAGAGGAAAAAAACATATACAAGTCCCTTTGGCATATAAGTTGCATTTATTATGCATCACCACTGAACAGTCATGTTTATTATGCATTTATTTAATGGTCAAAACAGCTTCATTTCTCCTGGGGGGCGTGGCGCCATCCATCCATCCATCCATCCATCCATCCATCCATCCGTCCATCCATCCATCCATCCATCCATCCATCCATCCATCCATCCATCC